GGGCTTCCATTTCTTCTTGCATGACTGCCATTCACAGAGAAACATATGGATTACTCACGGTTTCGTGAAAATTTGATGGTTCTCATTCTTCTGTAAGAAGACAATATGCATCATGGCTTGCCATAACATAGTCTGAGTGTCATGATGCGCTCTTATTTAGCGCTCTGATCGTCAAACTTTTGTATCATCAACCTTATTTGGTTCTTGTTTCTCGTGCTCTGGTTCAACTTCATAGAAATCATCTTCTCCATTATTCTTATCTATCTCAATAGCAGTAATCTCTTTAGAAGTGTTGTCATTTTCTTGTTCCATTTGCAGTTCATTTTCTGCAAATAGTGCATCTCTGCTAACTACAACCTTGGGAGCAGTGGGATCCCACAGGCAGTACCCCTTAACACCGTCAGCATAGCCCAAGAATATCAATTCCTGGATTTCAGATCCAACTTGGTTCTTTATTGGGAGTTGTACATCACATATGTAGGATATTCAAGCACGTGTAGAGAAGAATAACTTGGTGGATTGCAATGCCATATCTCTATTTGCGTCTCCAATCCAATTGTTGTTGATGGCGACCGGTTTATCAAGTAACTAGCGATCTTGATTGCTTCTGCCCAAAAAGACTTGGCTAAACCTATAGTTCTTAACATTTCTCTTTTTCTTTCAAGAAGAGTTATGTTCATTCGCTCCGCTATACCATTTTGCTGAGGGGTATATACAATTGTGAATTGCCTTTTAATACCCTATTTCTTGCAAAATGAAAGAAATTAACCATTTGTATATTCTCCTCTGTTGTCTTCCCTCTAACACTTGATCTTTTTCCCATATTCAAGTTCTAATTATGCTTTGAAGTCTTTGAAGGTTTCGAACATATCTGACTTCTTCTTGATTTGGTATACCCATAATCTCTTGGAGTAATTATCAATGAATGATACAAAATACTTTGCTCCTCCTAAGGACATTTCTGGTGACTCTTACACATCATAATGAATCAAGTCTAATATATGTTTTCTCTTAGCATTTGACGTAGTAATCTTCAATCTACTATGCTTACTTGTAACACATTGCTCATAAAAAGGTAAATTCACCAACTTGAGCCCGAGAAGAAGATTACATTCTGCAAGAATCTTAAAGCCTCGTTCTGACATGTGACCTAGTTTGAGATGCCACGTTGTTGTTAATTCTTCTTGATTGGCTGAAGCCACTATTGTGTCTGCTTCTCGCAATGTATTTACCATAAGCATGTAGAGATTTGATGCGGTCTTATCTGCTTTCATCACCACAAGAGCGTCTTTTACAACCTTCAAGATCCATCCTTCAATATGCGTCTTGCACCCAAGGTCATGTAATTGTCCAATAGACATTAGATTCTTCTTTAAGCCCTTTATATGTTGTACCCCTTGAATTGTGCGAACAGTACCATCATACATTTTTTATTTAGATAATACCAATTCCAGCAATCTCTAAGGCATGGTCATATCCCATGAACACAAATCCTTCAGAGACAAGTTCGTAAGTGCAAAACTAGTCTCGTTGTGGAGTCATGTGCCATGTTGCTCCCGAATCCACTACCCAAACATCCGTGAGCTATTTTTCGCCTTCAGAACTGATTGCTGCTTCATTGTATATGCTTTCTCCTTCACTAGAGGTACTAACGACACATTCTCGAGAAGTACTTGCTTCATGAGACTTCTCTGTACTGTTCTTGTTACTCCAATAATCTTTCTTAAAGTGCCCTTTCTTTCCACATAGGTAGCATTTTACATTCTTCCTTCTTCTTGACCTTGATCTACTCTGATTTTAACTCCCACTCGATCTATGTTCCATTGATCTTCCTCTCGTCATCGTCAAAGTCTCTTCTTGCTTTGAATTTTCTATTTTATTCTCCTTATTTGTCTATCTAGATTCTTTTTTAAGAATTGTAGTTGCATTGTTATTGAATGACAGGTTGTTTGATAACCCTTTATTTATTATGTTGATGATGAGCTGATCATATGATTTAGGTGGAATTTGGAGTAGAAGCTCAGCATGCTCACTTTCTGCTACGTTGTGATCCAATGTTGTAAGTTGAGAAAACAACGTAGTTGATGTGGTCTATTATCGTTGTGGACTCATTCATTCGAAGAGTATGAATGAATGAGTATAAAGTCTCTTCTTTAAGAATATCTTATTGTGAAATGATTTGACCTTGTACAATTTGGTGAGCATATCCCAAATTTCCTTTTCCATCTTCTTTTCAATAACACTTGACAACATTGAATTCGTCATTGCCAGGTGCAAATTGGCAACAGCGTTGTTATCCATTTCTTTTCACTTTTCTTCTGTTACGTCTATGGGTTTGCCTTCAATTGAAGCTAAGCAATTGTCCTTCCTCAAGATTGCCTTAATCTTTAGCTTCCACAGGGAGAAATTATTCTCATTGAACTTCTCAATCTCAAATTTTTTCGCCATGGTGTTGACAATACTCTGATTATTAACTGTATTGGGTTGCACTAATAGTACCATATACATGAATAGTATCATACGTACAAATAGTACTATATACTAGAACAAACGCAATATACATTAACAATACTGTAAAAGTATACAACCACACGTGTGAACAATAACCATGAACAGCACCATAGTATGAATAGTAACTAGTAACCAATCAGCTCTGATACCACTATTAGGTAACACAATATCACGCTGATAAAATAAAGTTGAGAGAAATAGGAGTTTCAAGACACTTCTAACCACACCAATTAGCCAGCTTAGTGTAAATCAGTGGGAGTTTCTCCATGCTAAATAACGATAACTAATTAAATAAGCACTCATTTTCCTAGACACCAACGGTGTAATTAACTTTATCTTGATTTCACTGATCAAGAGACCAACAAATATGTGAATTGAAGTGACACACAAAATTTATGCAAAACCCAATTTGGGAAAAATCACGGGCAAGATCAAAAAGAAAATTCACTATGTGGAATAAATTATAACATCTTTCTAAAATACAATGAAAGATCAATTTCACTCCCTTTTGTACTAAAAGAATATGTGGATTAATTTTCTCATGTTACACACATAATACATTAGTGGGGTCCACAAAAAAGTGAAAAAACAAAAAAATCAAGATGGGTCCCACATTTTAATTGTGAGTGTAACATGAGAAAATTTTCTCATGTAAAATGAGAAAACTATTTCCCAAAGAATATACCTCACTTAAAATAACATTCAAAAATGTTTTTCTTTTTAAGTGCGATATAAAGGAAACACTCTTGAACTTTGGGAATTTTTTTTTGGGGATGATGAAACCATGAAGAAATAATTGCTATTTATAAGCTGAAGAACTAATGCGTAAACGCGTTCCGTGTTTCTTCCTTACCTTTCTTTTTCTTTCGTGTTTAACTTATGTAGATTGGAACCAACGTCCAATCCAAAGCCATTTAAAAAACATGTGGATCATTTAAAGTGGCATTGATAGGAATAGTGACCAAAATATCCTTTTTTGGAAAAAAAATTATCCAAATGTTACGCGAACAGTATTTTTTACCAGATTGTCACGTGTCATAATTCGCTATGACTGGTAGTGAATTACGTTCGCCAATAATTTTGTGACACGCGGCACACTTTCGCAGAAAAAAGCTGATGTGTCATAATTCGCTACCAGTGGTAGCGAATTTAGTCTACAATATGGCCACGTGTCAAGAAATCATTAGCGAACGTAATTCACTACCAGTCGTAGCGAATTACGCCACGTGACAGTCTGGTAAAAAATATTATTCGCGTGACATTTGAGTAAAATTTTTGCCCAAAAATGATATTTTGATCACTGTTTCAACATTGTGTCAGTACAGTCAGATGACAAATGCATGAATTCCTTCTTACGAATTTTTTTTTTGTTGGAAAATATCTTACGATATTTTTTTCTATACACATGACGCAAACTTAAGAATCAACCAATTCCATTCGGAGCAATACACGTTAGTATCAACTTTTATCTTTTAAATGACAAGAAATTTAAACAATGATTTTTTATTAATAATGATAAAACGTTAAAAATTATGAAAATATAAAATAAAAGTGACCATAACAGTGGCTTTTATCCTTCAATTTCTCGGGCAGTCTACGACAAGAAGGACCCCATAACTCATGTCTCTACTACTCTCAAGAAACAAATGGATGGGTTAGCTCAGCATTCAAGCCAGCCTAGCATGGTGGCCAAATAAAATTTTGATTGCCAATTTGATAGTGACTAACACCTTCAAAATTGCCAAGTAATATCAATATCTAATATCAATATCTTTGATCAAAGCAGTTGCACAGAAAAATTTAGTCATTTTCCGTCATTATCATGTCTTTTGATTAACGAAGAACTAATCCTTCTCATATGATTTTCTAAGCTTGTGAAAAATTATTGATATTAGTAATTGAAAAAAAATAAAAAATAAAACTTAACGATATTATATTTCATGATCTGCAGTGCTAGAGTGAACTTTGGGCACGTCTAAAATAGAACTTATTATTGTCATAGAGATAATGAACGACAATCCTTTTTATTTTTAACAAAGGATAAGAAAATTCAAGATACACTTCCAGGGTCTCTGCTATATACAAGGCGAGATAGATACAGCTTACAAAAGATGGCATTTTCACATTTCACAAGGCATGCGTATATTATCTTGTGGCTTTCTGTTTGGGGTGAAGATTCAAACGGACATGATAAAGATAAGCAACTCTTTGCATCCGCACAGCCATAGCAATGAATTCAGACATTATAGAAGTTATTTTTATTTAGTCAACGAACAGTAGCCCATATTCATAAGCTCGAATACTATGATTTTGAGAATCTAATTTGCAACTTAACAACTTACAAGGTTCACACTTATCCTTCATTGAACTCAAATCTGAAGGACAAAGATATACACATTGCAAGTTGATGTACACGGAGATGGAGAGAATCAGAGAAACATATGGATAATTATATTAACACAATATCATACTTTTCTTAAGTTCATGGGATACAGTAGCTGATACAGATAATAGCAAATCATGATTGCTGACACAACACCGTTCAAGTGACATCAACTTAACCCTAAAAGATGTCAGACATGTCAAAGAAAAATACCGGCTAACAGAAGTAAGCATGTATACCAACCCATCCATCAACAGTTAAGTTTTTTTTTTTTTACCTTGACAATATCCATTGTACCGTAAACAATTCATAAAGCCATATTTTCTCTCTTCTGTAGAATCATTCCTCAACCACGTTAACCAATTCATATTCGACCAGAGATAGGTTGTTGTCCTCTTTAACTACAAATTCTGCAGGTTCAGCGACCTCGATGCGGCCCCATTTGTCAACAGCCAGCCTCATTGATCCCTTAAACATGTCAATCTTTGCATTACGAAGAATCACTGTATTCTCTGGCTTCATTAGGTCAGCTGCAAATAGAGAAGGAAGAAAAAAGGTCACATCTTACATATAGAACATGGTCTGATCTGTGATCTCTATACTCCCCATAGATATATCATAATGAATACATAAGTTACCAATCAACAAAAACAAATTAGAGGTAACTTTTATTAAATGAAATCGCCTAAACTTCATACATAATTGACACTTGGCACTTCATAATGGCAAAATGCTTGTATAGTTGCATCTATGAAATATGATCTCCCCAAATAACATAAGCACAAAATAATCATAAGGTTTTGCTTATGAGAGAAGGAAAGAATGAGAGTGAGCAAAAGGAATAAAAATATGTAATGCCACAAAACGTCTTGTCTATATATTTGCATCAGATTTTCATCATTCTGATCTCATTTTACTTCCTCTCATGTACTCTATCGAAGCCTAAAAGTTGTCATTACCATTCTCCAGTAGTTGCTTTCAACTCCTACTACAGAATAAATTGCAGACTCTGGGATCAACAATACTCTTATCTTAAACAGCCAGTAACTAGTTTATCAGCATGCAATGATCTCCATGAAAATAGATATAAAAAAGGCTAAAGCAAAATGAAATTGTTCATCTGCAGGGTACTTACAGGATAACACATACATCAAGATTCATATGTTTCAAAGAAATAAAAAGTAACTTACGAATCCAAAGCTGATAATATGCAATGACATGAAAAGATATGTTAAAATAACTGAGTAAAGCTCAATGAGAAAAAAGACCATGGTAATACCAAAATGATAGTAAGAAAAACAAGCATGAAATAACTGGCTTGGATTTAAAACTTTCACCGCAGAAAGACTGACTGGTTTGGATTTAAAACAAGAAATAAGACGTCCAAATTCATTAGTGACAACTTCAAATCAATAGTTTTTATCACAAAACACACGAAATTGAATCATAAAATTTACAGCTCACACCCTTTGCAAAACACCTCGAGGGAGCATACAAAATTCATCCTTGATCTCCCCAAGCCAACAAAAATAGCAAACAACATAGCCACATCTAAGGAACCCACACTGTCTATACTGCTTTATAGCATTTAGCTCAATCAAATCTCATGAACAAAAATCCAAAAGCAGAACAAGCCAGCGCATCAAAACGTGAAAGAGATTCCATGAAAATAATTCCAATCCATTACAAATTCACAATTCAGATTTCATGAAACCCCAAAAATTTAGAATCAGCCAGTCAACCACTTTAGAATCACCATTCTGATCTCCACTCACAAGTACGCATCATTAGAACCAAAATATCACAAGACCCAGAATAATGTAGATCCATTAAGTGAACAAAAAATAAATAATTTAAACAAATAAAATGTGCCCATTTGGAAAGTTTTCATTTTTATGAAAGCAAAAAAAAATAAAAAAATAAATAAATGAGAAATAAAAAAAACACAAAAAGGTTGTTGCGGGTGCTGAATTGTGGGACCTTGTTCGTTGCGAGCGGTGAAGATGATGGTGCCGGTGTCATCACCGATGAGGCACTCTGCGATGAGAGTGGGTCGAAGGTTTTGGGAAGTGGAGGGTCTTCCCTTCTGCAAGACAGTGTTGGAAGATAACACCTTCGCCACCAAGGTGTGACCGTTTGTTCCCGGTTTCAGTTGATCCACTTTGGTGAACACAGGCTTTCTCTTCGCCGGTTTCTCGCCTCCACTACTTTCTTGCTTCTCCGTCGACGCCATTGATTCCGATCAACAACTTCTATCTCTCCTCTGATGCTTTAGAATTTGTTTAGCTTTCTTCTGTGGATTTTTCAGAGACTAGAAGAAAAGAGTAGTAAAGCCATTAACAAATTGCATTTCGACACGTCGTTTCAAATCGCATAGCCAATGTCACGTGACATGCCACTAAGATAGCAAACTTTTGGTATACCTCGTGATAAAATAGATAATTTTTCATTTACCCTTGTTTTTTTTTAATATATTTTTTTTAATTTTTTACGTCTCTTCAAACTATTCTCACTTAATAATTAGATATTTAACTAAGTTCAGCATATTTAACTACTCATTAACTGATTCACATTTGACCATAAGAACACAAAAGTTATCCGATCTTCAAATTTAAACTCACATTCTTGTCTTAGGTAATCAAGGTTGCTTACCACTCCAGTCTATTCATTATAAGTAAATTACTTAATATTTGTTTTTGATAGCTAATTACTTAATATTTTTATTAGTAGACTTTAGATGCTTGTTAAATTTTTTAAATTAAAAATGCTTTTGGATAAGTTTTAAAAAAGTACTTTTTTTAATTTTCTTAAGAAAATATTTTTTAAAAAATTAAGAAAACGAGTATATTTTTTTATTTTTTTATTTTTCTAAATATTGTATTTAATTATCATACATATTTTTTAAAAAACTAAAATAAATAAAAATAAAACAGTCTTAAATAATCAAGTATAATAGATTTTGTAATAAAATCTGTCATAAATAAATATTTAAAAAATTTGTCAATTTTGAGTAAAACAAGTTTAACTTTTCCAGCATAAAACTTCACAATTTTTTTCTATTTCACATTGAAATTAAAAATACAAATGGCTGCTTACTAAAAAAATATGCCTGGGATAACTAAACAAAAGTGCTGTACATGTGCAATCATGATTTTTATTTTTTGGGAGGAGGAACCGTGCAAGTGCTTTGCAGGGAGAGTTTCAGAAATATAAACACTAACTGAATTTGTAATTTTTTTACTTATACGATGTAATTACATTTTCTAATTTTTAATTAAATGATATTTAAATTTAATATCTAATTTAGTAATTTTTGAGAATTCATTAATCACCCACAACTTACTAAAAAATTAATTTTTAATATAAAAAAATACCAAAAACAATTCTACATAAACTTAATTTTTTTAATATTAATTTATAAAATCATATCACTAATACATAATTTGGGGAAAATGTTTTTCTAATAATATACTAAAATCATGCTTGAGAACCACGGTATATTGTAAGTCAAGGCTAAGTCTAGAAGTTAATAAAAACAAAGATCCAATCGCCTGTAATTATTCATAGAGATTGAAAAAATAAAAGTTTAATAGGGAGAGTTTTATCAACGCAATTAAAAAACTGATATGAAAACATCCGATCGAAAAAAGGAAACTGGTATGCACATACCCAGTGGGAAAAAGAGACAAGTGATCTTCATGAATTCCAAAATTCTACATTGTAATAAAATGAAATCATAGCCATAGAGGCAAGTGATCTTGATGGATTCCAAAATTATACATTGGAATAAAATGAAATTATACAATCGTGAAGGACCAGCGGTAACCTTGTGATAAGTCCTAACGAATAATAAGCTTGTATAAAATAATAGTCTCAAATTTGTTGCAGAGTTTCAGGATAAGTCGTGGGTTTTTTTTAAGGTTTTATTATTCTCCTTCAACATAAGATAGGTATTTTACGTTGTAGAGATAAAATGGGTGGGTCCCACTATTACAAGAAAAAAGAAAAAAAAGAAAAAGATGAGATGCGGAAATCGAAGTGAGAGAGTAGAAGAGAAGTAATCTTATGCAAAAGGAGAGTAATACTTCCCTTTTTTTTATCACCTAGAAAATAATGTAAAATGAAAAGATTTTAGCGTAATAGTATATCACTTTCCTTGTGTTGTCCGGTATAAGTAAACTCGCATTTTCTATTACGAGTTATGAAAAATAATAGAGAGCACTCACACACGGCACGATTGAGGACAAACTCACATTTTTGTGTTGCGAATTATTAAAAACAAATTGCTGTTATTATCCATATTTCAATGCTGCTTGTTAAGATTGTAGAGGGGTGAAAACTTCCCAATATCTTTCCTTGGGAGCTCAAAATACAGTTTTAGAAGGCAATTAATAACTCGTGATTGTTCATAAATGCTCATTTTAATTTCATCTTCAATAATTCTTTTATATTTTATTTTTTTGGGTAGGATTAACTTACACTTAATATTAATAGTTGATTAACGTGCATATGAGAACTGTAATTATTGAGTCTTAATAATCAATTAATTTTTTATTTTTAATAAATTATAATTGTCATATTAGATATACATAAATCAACTATTAAAAAAGAATATAAAATTTATTGCTCATGCGCTTATATAAATTGATCCTATCCTTTTATTTTTATAAAAAATATTCAAATAATTTTTCGGATTCTAACCCAAATGCTCTACAGGAAATATCGTAAAATAAAAAAACTTATTAATTAATTATAGACAATTCTCAATTTGTGTTTTTAAGAATGTTGCATGAACCGATTGACAATTTTTTTCAATTTAAGATTAATTTTTAAAGGCTTTAATGTTTTTATAATAAATGTAGATAACTTATCTACTTTCGCTCTCAAAACAAAATTATTTTGGGTTAAAAATTAAAAAATAATAATGAAAAAAATTATTATAATCCGAAATAAATTATAATTATAAAAATACCTTAATTTTTACTTTAAAATAAAGTCGTTTTGAAATCATGTAGATAACTACTGTAGAAAAAGAGAACTTTTTTTAAATTCATAAATATACTCGAATCATGTATGAATTATTTTATATAAATATCTTAAAAAATTAACTATATATATAATGTAATTTAATTATTTTTAAAGTAACTTCTATAAATCGTGGTTAATAATTATCTTTATTATTAATTATTTTAATATTTAATATATATTATCATTATGTAAAAAATCTATAGTTAATATTAAATGATATAGAATAATATTTTTAATTTTTAATAATAAAAAATAATTATTAATGGTCAATATTTCCCCAACCCTAAAATGGTGTATTTTTGAAGTTGCAAGAGATAATTTTATCTACTGTCATAGAAGAAACACCTCATATATATATATATATATATATATATATATATATATATATATATATAGGGTTTGTTTTTTCTGATGTTACTTTAGATAACTTTATCTAATGTTCATCAAAACGACGTCGTTTTTGGACGAAAATCATGGTATTTTTGTAATTTTAATTTATTTCAGGATTATAATAGTCTTTATCACTCTAATTTTTTAATTTTTCAACCCCAAAACGACGTCGTTTCAATGAACATTAGATAAAGTTATCTAAAGTAACATCGAAAACTTTTTTCCAATATATATATATATATAGGTAAAATCATTTCTACAACCGTTTTACATACAGCAACGACAGATGTATGATTATGATTCTCCACATTTAATACTTTCATCCGTTGTATGGTTATGATTCCCCGCATTTAATGTTTTTAAGTATATATATGACACGTATTTGATTGTTGCATGTACAACAACTGCAAAAATGTAAATCTTATATATAAGGATGAGAACCCATCTTGGTAATGAAGCCAGATGAGGAAGTATGAATATATAGTTGAATCTAAATTATTTGTTATATACCTGGACTTTATGTTAATATTTTAGTATCTTATATCATTGCTTAACTGGAAAGTGTGAGATTTGAGATTTTTGCATCTTAGATAACTATAGTAATAAGTCTTGTTAGTGGCAGTAATTCAATTTTTCATATGTTATACAAGATCCAAGAAACCTTAAATAATCAATGGCTATGATGGAGTAAATAAAAAATTATGGTAATATCTTAAGATCTAGCTGTATTGATAAAATTTAATTTAGATCTACCTTTATATTTGTACTGAACCAAAGGATGGTCTTGATATCATTGGGAAATGAGAAATATTATGATAATTTTAAAATATTAAGATTTCTTTCTTCTTTTATTTCTTTCAAATCTTCCGAACCTTCTTATTCTTCTTTTATAGAACATCAAACTAAATTTCTTCAAACAATATTTTCAAAGCAAAAATTTCCTTTGAAGATTTAATCAAGATATGGATAATTGGAAAATTCTTAGAATCCAAACAAATGAACTTCATAAACCCGAGGGAAAATTCTTCCACAAATCTTATTATATAATCATAACTATAGATCAAAATATTTCTTTTAAACTTGAATTCAAAAAATTTAGGCTCTTTCAAATCAATCTATATAAGCTTATAAATAAAGTTATAGCTTTTACCTAACGGGTGTGTCCATATTGCTATCAAGCCTCTAATTAGAGAAGGCTTAGATACTTCTGTCCTTATTTTTCTGAGAGACTCAAAACATAATAAATTTTAAGATTCCTTACTAAGAACGGTTAAAACTAGTCTGAGCCATGGACTGGTCTTTTTTAATTGCTATCCAGATAGGACAGTAAAACTTAATGTCAGGCGGGTCCAGGGGAAGCCTGTGGCGGGGGGCCACCACCAATGAGCTAAGGCTACACCAACCGTAGCGAGTGGATTCGACACCATGTCTCAACCCAAAACCTTAAAGGCATTGGGTTCATGGGTCCTTTCACTTATATACTCTTCACTTAGCTCATTACCAACCAATGTGGGACTCATCACACTTGAATATCTCAACAATCTTCCCCTCAAGTGTGAAACCCACCATTGGTATGCTCCCCCTCAACCGAGTACCCCAAACGCAAAATACTCGACTCGCCTCCTAGCCAATCACAGGCTAGCTTGAGCACAACCCGGCTCTGATACCACTGTCGGGCGGGTCCAGGGAAAGCTCGTGGCGGGGGCCACCACCAATCAGTTAAGTTACTCCAACCGTAGCAAGTGGATCCGACACCATGTCTCAACTCAAAACCTTAAGGCATTGGGTTCATGGGTCCTTCCACTTATATACTCTTCACTTAGCCCATTTCCAACCAATGTGGGACTCATCACACTTGAATATC